TATAATAATGAATGTCTTTTCTATTGTTTATTGCACAAATAAAACATTGTACCCAAAAATATATGCGTAAAAATTCCCAAAGCACAATTATATTTAGGTTTATAAGTCCTTCAGTATATAGGCTCTCAGGAAGAGATACAGTTCAATGGATTCATCTGCTGTGCTTGGTGGAAGTAAGAAGTTCTCTGACATTATAAGGCAACACAAGCTGAAAACGGTTTCATCACAGGTATAAGGTCCTCTCTGTTGACATTCTTGCTTACAAGCATCCACTGCCTCCCAAGAAACCTCTTTCAGATGATCCTGTCCTCCAAAGAGATGAGGGATGGTGTACATGAGAATCGGACGTCCACTTGGAGCAACTGCATTTCTGCTTCTGCGTATTATGTGGGTGTTCCACATATGTGCAACTTGCTGCAGCTCTTCCTGTTAAATATTAAAAAATCTCATATCAGTAAAAGAACACATTTCTCTTGGCTCAACATGTTACCCAAAACGGCGCTGGCACGGCTGGCAGCCTTAACCCAATTTCCCTCGGGATGAATAAAGTACGATCAATCAATCAATCAATCAATCAATCAATCAATCAATCAATCAATCAATCAATCAATCAATCAAAAGCACCACACAATGACAGTCGGAAAAACAGAGTTTATCAAAAATACTCAACAACAAGAATAACAGTGGTAGACACGTGATACTTTGGAAAATTTTAAGTAATTATTAAACGTGAATTGTTTTAGACAGTGCGATTTTATGTTTCTGGCCAGTGAAATATGCATTTTTTTTCATATCCTCAACGGAGTGATAATAGGGATGGTGCATGGTAGGTGTTAAAGCAAACTTTTTATTCTCTCTCCGTGTCTCTCTTTCTCTCTAACACACACACACACACACACACACACACACACACACACACACACACACACACACACACACACACACACACACACATGACTCATTAAAAGAATATAAACATGGTTACATACCTCGATGACGTTCAGGCACGTAAACAATATGAGCTGCTTGTCCAAAAAACATCCAGAAAAGCAATCATGGTCTTTTAGTTCCTGGAGACGATTTATCCAGTGCTGAGCATGATGTCGTCTCAGAAAGGCCCACCAGCCTTCAATACGCTGATTGTGATTGCTGGATCCAGTAATAAAACAGTTTCTGACGTTCGGATCCATAGTCCAGCGCAAGAATCGTTGCATCTCGGCCATTATGACATTTTCTGTTCCCAAATCAGAGCGAATCCTAGCAGGTGTTCCCATCCTCTTTTCAACTTCTGCTATGAAATATCCAGCAATGACTTTGGGATCATTGTTTGTTGAATAGGCATGAAGCCAAATCATAACTCTCGAAAACCCATCAATAGCTCCATTTATACAGATTCCAAAAGGCTTCAGTTTGTCATAGGAGTCAACATGCCACATGAAATTTGGTCCAGGATTTACATACGTGCGTCGCATTAGGCGATTTCTGCGTCGTTGCTCAACACCGTAAGGGTCAAGATATTTCAGTAAATGTCTCACAGTACTCTGCGTGACAACATAACCTGCCTGAATGCAGTTCAGGTGATGTAGTTTGTATCCATGGAGCCTCCCATGTCCCTCCAGTTGATCAATAAGAAATCGTGCCACCTCAATCGGATCGGACTCATTCTTTCTCCTGTACAGTCCCATGCGTTTTAGGTTTCTTCTAAGTGTCCGCATGCTTATCACAATACTGTCCAAACTGCTCAATAACAGCAAAATCTCCCCATGCCTCAATCCAAGCATAAAATAGAACTTAATTAATTCCAATAAACGAGCCATTTTCTCGCACTCTGATCTGCACTGTCACCCACTTCACTATGTTTTACAATTCCGTATCTTTACGGCAATATATCATGCTCGAACAATAAAATATATGTTATAACGTGAAAATTTTATTGTTCAAACAATATAATTATCACGTTCGTACAATATAATATTTATATTGTACGAACGTGATAATTATATTGTACGAACGTGATAATTATGTATATTGTAATAACGTGATATTATGTTGTTCAAACGTGAAAAGTATATTGTACAAACAGGAAAAGTATCTTGTTAGAACAATAAACCTTTCACGTTATAACGTGATACACTTGTATTTTTCTTTTGCCTGGGTGGCAGCTCTACGCTTCCGTAAAACAGCACTATATCAATTTAAAATTGAGACGTGCAGCAGCTGTTTTTATGCCCTTTAAATAAGATGTAACATTTTCTTCATTCATTCTTTTTTTAACTTCATGCCAGAAAGTTAAAAACAAGTAAAATGAGGTCAAACTGAAGTCTACGTCTCTCTTCATCATCTGTAAATTTCTCTCGTAGCACAAATGTTTTCCAACAAGCTTTAGTGGATTTTGAACATGGATGCAGCAAAGCAACCATTTTCTTAAAGAGAAAGTGGAAACGCATCAGAAATCCACTAAAATAAAAGCTGTCAGTGAGCTTCAGAGGCTAGCTGCCCTCCCTCGTTTCCTATGCTAGTGCTAAGCTAAGCTAACTAGCTGCTAGCTGGTCAGTGTGTTTGTACTGACTTTAAATCTGGTCTCGTTTGAGCAGATGGTAATCAGAGTATCTTTTTCTGTTCCCACAGGTCTTCCAGGAATGCCACGCCCACAGATCTGAGCAGCAGGTCGGTGAGTGAAATGTTTCTATGCTTCAGCTGTTGTGTTAAAATTTATCGGTTTTATTTTACTGTATAAAAAGAGATGAAGCATGTTTGAGGCTACGCAGAGCGAGGCAGTGTACATGAAGAATACTGAGGAAGAATCTAGGAACTCCTGTAAGTCTGAGGATGGCAGTTGGATCAGAAACATGGCAGCAGTTTTGCTGCTCAGATATTTGCAGATTAAATCCTGTTTCTTGACGATGTCAGTAAATTCGTTAGAGCAGTTGTTGTCTGCTTCTGGCTCTCTTGCACAGCGCGTCTTTTGTCCTGTCTCCCTCCCCTCAGCCTCAGCTGTTCATGTCAGATTGCCGTCCCTTACTGAGATAGTGCAGTAAGGTTTGCAGGAGGTTTCTTCCTGTTAAAAGGCAGTTTTTCCTTCCCACTGTCGCCAAGTGCTAGCTCATAGGGGGTCATGTGATTGTTGGTGTTTTCTCTGTATTATTGTAGAGTCATTACCTGCTAATATAAAGCACCTTGGAGTGACTGTTGTTTTGATTTGTAAAAAGTAATTAAATCAAATTGAAACTGAATTAGTAATTAGTCTGTGGAGAGGCGAGACACATGAGCATTATATTCACTTTGTATTTAATAAGTGAAGTCGGTGAATTTCAGCAGTGAAGCCATACCTGAGCTCATGAAGTCGTGGTGCGCTTGTTGATGCTACGTGAACATGTTGACTCTCTAACAGGTATATGATGGTAAACTACAGACAATAATTGCGGATGCAGAAGCACCATATGATGCTGTGGCACATGTCAAATGCCCAGTTTTTAAAAAAACAAAATCAATACAGAAATGTGTTGTTAGCTAGCTGCTGGTTAGCATTGATAGCGCCTTGAGGCGACTGTTGTTGTGATTTGGAGCTGTATAAATAAAGTTGAATTGAATCTCCTGCTGTTAAAAATGGGTTGGTGGTCTCTTGCCTTCCATTACTGAACTAAGTACAGTATGGTGACATGTTTATATTCTACACTAGGCTCTAACATAGCAGCATTCATTCCCAGTAGTTTGTAGTGGAGCAGGTACGTCACATTAAAAACAGCTCTTTTTGTTTTGTGTGGTTTCCAACAGGAATCAACATTACGAGCTCCAAACAGAGTTTTGCTTCTTCTTCCAGCAGCCGAGTCAGCTAATAAATCCATGTTCACTGCTTATGGTTCACATTATTTTCCCTGTTTTAGTGACTAAGATGATTAATCACCAGCATTACTCTGAATAATTCCTGTATCGAACTCTTTCATCATCTCTCATCTGTTTGTTTCTCGAGTCATCATAGTTTGTATTTTAAACGTACTCAGGCTGATTCCAATAAAGTAGTTCCGGTTGTTTCTTCTACATCTGAACTTCACGTCGAGCTGAATTATTGAACTTTTTGCTGCGCTATATTTTTCTGACAGCTTTATTAGTCACTCTGCAGAAGTGTACAGATAAACTGGAGTGTTTTACATACATGAGATAAATGTGAAGAGTGCGTTTAAATTCTGTTAGAACTGCAACATTAGACATTATGCATTCAGCCACTGAAGAAGCAGCATTTTTACTTTTGCTAGTTGAAGTATATTGTTGTATTATTTTTTTTACAATGTGGTAAATTTAGCTTTTGCGTACACACATCAGATTTAATGCTCCTCCTGTTTTGCCTGCAGCAGACTTGGAGTAATGTGTGATTTGGTAATGGGAGCATATTTGATGGCATCATTATTATTATATCCTCCAAACACGTCATCCATATCTGAACTTTTGCAGTTTTTCTGTCATCTGTAGTGAATTACACCTTCATAAACTTTATGCGCCGCTGTGATTGATTATCATTACCTCCACAAATACAAATAATCCTTTAAAAGTTTCTCCGTGGACACATTTTTGCAGGAGATTCTTCAAACTGAGTGAATTGCGTGTCACTTCGGTTTTCAGCGCCTGCAGCAGCCATCCTGCTGAACATCTGACTTCATCCGCTCTGCACTACCCGACTCACTGGACCCTCTACAGTTCGCATACCGCCACAACAGGTCCACTGATGATGCCATAGCCCTGACACTACACACTGCCCTGTCACACCTGGAGAAGAGAGACACGTATGTGAGAATGCTGTTTGTAGATTACAGCTCAGCATTCAATACCATCGTTCCCTCGAAGCTGGACAGGAAACTGCAGGATCTAGGACTGAGCAGCTCCCTCTGCAGCTGGATCCTTAGCTTCCTGTCTGACAGACGCCAAGTGGTCAGACTGGGCAGCATCACCTCATCCCCCATCACACTGAACACTGGTGCTCCACAGGGGTGTGTACTGAGCCCTCTCCTGTACTCACTCTACACCTACGACTGCACAGCCACTAACAACTCCAACATCATTGTGAAGTTTGCGGACGACACTACAGTGGTGGGTCTTATCACCAACGGTGATGAGACGGCTTACAGGGAGGAGGTCAGCGCCCTGACCCACTGGTGTCAAGACAACCATCTCACCCTCAACGTCGCAAAGACAAAGGAGTTGATAGTGGACTTCCGGAGGTGCAGAGAAGTACACACCCCCATCACCATCAACGGCGCTGCTGTGGAGAGAGTGAGCAGCTTCCGGTTCCTTGGTGTACATCTGGCTGAGGATCTTACGTGGTCAGTACACACAAACAAAACAGTGAAGAAGGCGCAGCAGCGCCTCTTCTTTCTCAGGAGACTGAAAAGATTCGGCATGAGCCCCCGCATCCTCAGGACCTTCTATCACTGTGCCATTGAGAGCATCCTCACTGGATGCATCACCACCTGGTATGGCAACAGCACCGCCTACAACTGCAAAGCTCTCCAGCGAGTAGTGCGGTGCTCTGAACGGATAATTGGAGGTGAGCTTCCCTCCCTCCAAGACATCTACAGGAAGCGGTGCCTGAGGAAAGCGGGGAGGATCATCAAGGACTCCAGTCACCCCAGCCATAAACTGTTCAGACTGCTTCCATCAGGAAGGAGGTTCTGCAGCATCCGGTCCCGTACCAGCAGACTGAGAGACAGCTTCTTCCACCAGGCCATCAGACTGCTGAACACGTCATAGACACCTCAGCTTCACTACTGGAACTTCAACACTATGCACTCCACACTGTATATAAATGCCACTTGTTTTGCACATATTCAACTCTGTATATTTTTATATATTTCATTTATTATTATTATTTTTTTACTATTTAATTTGTAAAATGTGTATACACACACACACACACACACACACACACACACACACACACACACACACACACACACAGGAAAATGTTTAGTATACACATCCAGAAATGCATACACTATTATATATTGTACATATATTTATTAGTTTCAGATGTAGCCATTCTTGTATTTGCTGGTTTGTGTTGTTGTGTTTGCACATTTCTGTTGCTTGTGGGCTCGCACACAAGAATTTCACTCGCATGTGCTGTGCCAGTGTGCCTGCACATGCGATGTGACAATAAAAGTGATTTGATTTTGATTTGACATGAAGGAAACGCTGCGTGGAGCCGAATCTGTCTTCTGGTCTCACTGCCCTTTGGCCAGTCATGCAAATAACATCTGTCAGTTTACACACGGTGTAACGTGGCCGTTTGCACACCTGAACAGTTTAATGTAAAACACACTCGGATCATTTCACCGAGCTGCTCACAAATCTAACAGATGAACCTGGTGCTGATCGGAGAACTGGACCAAAGTGGTTCTGTGCAAGCAAGAGGAAAGATCTCAGCATTATGGATCAATTATCAGCAAAGCTGATACCCGTTTTAATTTGAGTCTATCTGGAGACTGACTCAGGGCTGGAGCCTCGAGTGGACGTTAGAGGAACTGCAGTTTCTGGTTTCATCCTTCACTCCTGGAGGTTCATTTTGTAGCAGATAACCACGTAAAGAATGGAATATATCAACACTGGTCCTGGACTTCTGACGCTGATTATGTCACTAAAACCGTCCAATCGGTGAGCTTGTTTTACTTAAAATTGCTCCGATTCAGCATGTGTTTAACATGTCAGCCCCACATGGACTCGGTGGATGTGCTCCCACACACGGGTGGAGGTGATTTCTAACTGAGCTGTAACAACATCAGGAATCATCTGGGCCTCGTCTCCGTTTCCTTTTCTTTCCTGAGCAAAATTTTCTGGGTCTGTCTGACTCCTCCTCCTCGTCTATCTCCACCTTCTTTGTTCTTCTCTCCTCTTCGTGCCCCACCATCCATCCCTCTGCTTTTATCAGTGCCACTGCCGTTTTTGAGTTGACGGTCCTCGCTCTCTGTCCCTCTGCCATT